AAAGCTGGAAACACAAAAACGAATCTTTCTGTTTTTTTTTTTTTGTGCTAGCCAACTTATTTGCGATAGCCCATTGGGAGTTTTGCATAAAACACTTGGGTTATCTTAAGATCGGGCGCTTATTTATCGCCCCCAGCGAATTAACAGAGGGCAAAAAGTGCTGCGAAGACGCCCACAAAACCCGACTCTTGGTCGAAATGTCAAATGGGAGTTATGGGAATTAGCAGCAGCTGACAAAGTTATTAGCCTGCATTTATGTATTATATACTTAAGGCTGGCAGCGAAATTGCGCAACATTGCAGCAACATTTTAGCGGCTCATTTGGCCCAGTTTTGTCCCACACAAACCCATTTAAGAGCCAGGCTTCGGCTGCGACTTGGCTTCGCTTTTAATGATGTAATCATTAAGAGCAACACACACACACACACACACACACAAATACAGTTGGCCAGTTGGCTAAACGAGTTGGTCAAGTTGGCATATCTGTTGCCTGCATTCACTTTCTCGATGCGTTTTCTGAAATTAGGTCTAGGCTTAAATAGTTCGCGAGCGTTTCAAACGGAAGTCATTGACCCCCGGCGCTGCTTGACCCAAATCGGGTTGGAAAATTTAAAGCGTCAGCAACGCACCCCAATGTACCTAGACCTAGACACACGTATACACATACACACACACACACAGAGGCAAACAAACAAGCCACCCTCTGGCCCTCTTTGGCCGGGCAAATACAATTTTCTCATCAATTTCCGGTCAAGTGAAATGTGGAAAAAGCAGAGAGAGAGAGAGAGAGAGGAGAAAAAGAAAAGCGAAGCTTGTTTATAATTTATGCATGTCCTGTTCTTGTTTGGCCGGAAATATATATATATATAGAGCGTACGAAGCTAGCTAACGCCCTTAAGTGGCGCCCGGGCAGGGTCAAAACACGCCAACAAGGCGTCAACTACTGGTATTTACCGTTATTTTCGTCTGGGGTCAATGACTTAAAGGAAAGAATAATGCCTATAATTCGCAAGCAGTTCAAGCCGGCAATCAAATCTTTAGATCGCATGCGAAACAATCAAAGAACTTTAAAGGCGAGCACTGGGCATACCTTGAGTATGTGCACACACACACACACACACATACACACACACACACACACTTTGCTGTACAGTGAGTAACAAAAGTTTGTGCACACTCTTTTAGTTTGTTCAACTTTTTTTTATAACTTTTTTTTTTGTGTACTGGCTTTGAAAATGCAAAGCCCTTTAGCTATTTCCTGCAAGTGCCGCACGCCAGCTGCTGCTGCTGCTGCCTGGCACAAGTTCAACTGCAGTGTTAGCGGGTTGGGCGCAGTGGGCGTGGCCAGTGAGCCAGTAAGCCGCTAAAGTAGGCAAAGAGGTCAGTCATAGACAAATGCCGAGTGCTCCCAGCTATGTTCACTTCAAGTGTCTGCTTTGAGTACAATTTTGAGCTCCTTTAGAGCTGTTGACATTTCCATTTGCATATTGTGCAGCAGCAGCATGTGGCAGCATTGAAAATTGTTGCCACATTTGTTATTATATATAGAGTTTTTTTTTTTTTTCTATTTCGTGGGCAATTCGTGTCAATGTCTCTGGTGTTTGTATACTCGTTATAATCATAAATTGAAGTGCAATTTCAACGTGCGCTGATACGTGAACCTGCGCCAACTGTTTGCATTATAATTTTGTATAATTTACGTGCGCTGTCGACGTTGTAATGCAAAAAGAATTCGATTGACGGCGACAGACAACGATAGGTCGATAACGATTGCTGTTGTAGATGCAACTAGTCGGTTATCGATAGACTTATCGATCGAATCGCACGGCATCTTGTTTGATATTGCTACATATTTCATTTAAAAAAACGTTCTCTTATTAAAAGCGTTCATATATTAAAAACAAAAGATTCCTTTGATATGCTTTAATATATCGCTGTTATCAAAAGCTCATTAATCGATAACGATTGCAGTTGTAGATGCAGCTAGTCAGTTATCGATAGACTTATCGATAGAACTGCACTCCAAATAACACATTTAATTTAAAAAAACTTTCTCTTATTAAAAGTGTTCACATATTTTTAAGCATAAAATTCTCTTGATATTTTTTAATATATCATTTCACATTAAAAGCTCATTAATCGATAACGATTGTAGCGTCAAATGTGGTCTTTGTTATCAATGTTCTAATAAGCTTTTGAATGTCTGTCTCTTTGAATTATATATGTATCTACACTCTATATATAAAGTACAGGTAAATACACCTGTTAATAGATAACTTTCTTTGCGTATGTGTTTCATGAAATATGTCACATTCACACTTTATTGAGCCATTTCCGTTGGCCACTTCCGTTTCGAAATCCTCGGGAATGTATAATTTGTGACGCACTTTATTCGTTTCGATGCGTTTCGTTTCGGGCATTCGAAAGGTTCGTCAGCAGCACAAATGAATCATTGGCTGTCAAATGATAAGCCCGTAAAGCACTCATTGAATACAGTTCTAAAGGCACTTCGGCCGCTTGTTCTTCTCCTCATTCTACTTCTTCTTCTTGTCTCTCTGCTTGTTGCCACTTCGAGAGTATCTTATCACGAATGCAAACACAAACACCTGAGTTATCTGGGCTGTGACTGGGCCAACTCATCGACAGTTGCCTTCGATTCAGTGACAATTGGCCCAACAATTTGATTTTTTTGTTTAATAAGATTTACGAGCCCGCTTTGCAAACATGTTCTACGTGCACAGCCAGGGCCAAAAGCCGGTTGAAAATTAATAAACGAATGCAAGTTCAATTGGAATTTCGACGCGGCTGCTTTCATGTATTTCCCACGATTCGCTGCAGCTCATCGTTGCAATTATGTTAATTGCATAATGCATAACGCGAATATTGAACATTGAGTGCTGGAATGTGCAGGCAGCTCGGTTCTATAACAAACACAACCTCCTTCTCGCCACAATCAGACAAGGTCAAGCCTCTGGCTCTGTTTGAACCCAAACGATGCGTCAATTAACGGGGAACTGCCCGAAATAATATTATCATACATTCGTTTTGTAGCACCACTTGACAATGGAGAAGTCACAAGATTAGGCCTAAGAATTTAACATGCAGCACAACGATGCTGAAGTACTTCTTAAATAATAAAGAAATTGAAATAAAACCGAAAAAATGTGCGAGTTATGCTTCACGGCCAAAGGTTCATTTCGCGAATTGGCTTCCAACTAGTTCCTTAAACCCGCAACTTTAAAACGATTTATAAATTTGCGCCGTATATGTTAATGTGACGTTAACAGCGCGTGACGCTAACAGAATGTAAAATCGATTATGGTTTTTTTTTTCCTCTTTTAAAAAAGAATAACTCAAAATGTATATCGAGTATTTAATTGGGATGATACAAAATATATAATGATAATAAATAACATATGCATATAGGAAATATGCCCGATTAATCTGCATTCCAATGACTTTATAACCCCGCCAGGCTATCAAAACAATGACAGAGACAGAGAGAGAGAGAGAGCGAGATAGATATGGGGATGAGAGAGGAGAGCAGAGAGACAGATTAATTTAATTGTGTAATAATTTTGACAGAAAAGCGGAACGCAAAATTGCAAATGATTTGCATATCGCTCTTTGTGACTGATTCTGCAGTTACCCCGAGATTGATTGTTCGCTTGTCAGAGTCATGTTTACAGGAAAAGCAAAACAAAGCCACAAAAGCGTGCGAGTTCATTTACCTTTTGAGGCGAGTCTAAGGCACCGCCCACAACCCGTAATCCCCCCCCCGTCACAGTCCAGTGTTGGTTACCACACGCCAAGACGGCAGCACCACCCAGTTTATTAAGTACTTAGGATTGGGGCAACGCGACGCATACTTATGCGTTTCGGCCGAAAAAGTTTACTTCCTCGGAAAAATAAAAATACAATATCATAAAAAAGTTCTATAAGTAAAATATATGCATATAAAAAACAAATCAGTCAGCTGAGTGGATCGTTTGGTATTATGCAAGCGCCGTTTCAGAGTGCTTCTTTTTTTTTTTTTAAGTTTTTCTTAATTTTTTTTTTTTTTTTGGCAGCATTATATGGCACAGTATACCACAGGGTACATATTTGATATGCTGTTCTCTGCCTGCGACCCATTAAAAATGTGCGACACATGAGGCGCACGGAACATGTTTCACATGCCAAATGGGCTTTACGTGAATTCAGCTGACTTTCAAAAAATTTGCTCAAGCTGCAAATGAAATAAATACCAGATATATATATATATATATAAAGTACAATATATATAGTATTTATACTAATTGCTGCATTTAAAGCTTGTAATTAGTGAGAAATAAATTGTCTTTGGAACCGTTAGGCGCATCTCTAACCTCGCATTGTATACGTACTTCCTATAGAAAGAGTGCTGTCTGGTATTCAATGCTAATCACAATTGGCAGTTCTACAAAGATTCGCGTTACAATTTAATTCGACTTACATGCGTTCAATTAATTGTAAAAGTTTGCCATAAAAAAGCTAACCAAAACACTTCCTTAACTTGACTCAGCTCTCGTCTCGTCTCGTCTCGTCTCGTCTCGTCTCGTCTCGTCTCGTCTGAGTAGAACTTAGTTTGTTTTTCACACCTCGAATCGCATAATTAAAGTCACGTAACTGTGATTCGCTCTTAGTCTGGCTTTAAAGTAGGAGGGGGAGGCAGGTGGCGATTTGTATTATAAAACATTGCCATGCCAATGCGCTGGGTAATAAATTATGCAAGTCAGATAGTTTTTGCGGCAAATTTATTCTTGCATATACCCGCAAGAAATGTGACGAATGACGAATGACGTCCCAGGTGGGAGCTGTTGGCTCGGCTCGGCTCGCCAGGACAATTACAAGGCAGGCGAAACGTGTCTTATCTGATCGCCATAAATCAGCGGCAATCCACAAGCACCCGCTGGCAAATGGCGCAAGCCATTGATCTTGTGTCCAGCTGTTCCCTTGAGAAACCCTCTTCTAATCTCTACCCTTTTCTCTTGGCTTGCAGATCTATCTGTCACAGTTTGGCTATCTGCCCGCCTCGGCGCGCAATCCGGCCAATAGCGGACTGCAGGATAAGCACACATGGGTCAGTGCCATACAGGAGTTCCAGAGCTTCGCTGGACTCAATATCACCGGCGAACTGGATGAGGAGACAATGAAATTGATGTCACTGCCACGTTGCGGTGTCAGAGATCGAGTCGGCACCGGAGATAGTCGGTCGAAACGTTATGCACTCCAGGGCAGTCGCTGGCGTGTCAAGAACCTCACCTACAAAATCTCCAAGTATCCCAAGCGCTTGAAGCGCAACGATGTCGATGCGGAAATCGCGCGCGCCTTTGCCGTCTGGAGCGAGGATACAGATCTAACCTTCACCCGAAAAACATCGGGACCCGTGCATATTGAGATCAAGTAAGTGCTCGAAAGGGATATGGTTAAGACTCGGCTTAAACTATTTGGGAATTATAAGCGAAAAGCACGCTTTGACTTGCAGCCTCTTTTATCTTTAGTTGTTTCTCTCTAACCCCTCTCTCTCTCTCTTTCGCTTTATCCTCGCCAGATTCGTTGAGAGCGAGCATGGCGATGGCGATGCCTTCGATGGCCAAGGCGGCACTTTGGCTCACGCTTTTTTCCCCGTCTTTGGCGGCGATGCCCACTTTGATGATGCCGAACTCTGGACCATTGGCTCGCCACGCGGCACGAATCTGTTCCAGGTAGCCGCCCACGAATTTGGCCACTCTCTGGGCCTCTCGCACTCAGATCAGAGCTCAGCGCTGATGGCGCCATTCTATCGCGGCTTCGAGCCCGTCTTCAAACTAGATGAGGACGACAAGGCGGCCATACAATCGCTATATGGACGCAAGACCAATCAGTACACGCCCACCAATGTCTACCCGCCCAGCACGCACAGACCATCGTTTACGCCACCGAAGGTGCCGCTGGATGATTCCATATGCAAGGACTCCAAGATCGACACCCTGTTCAATTCGGCGAATGGCGAGACGTACGCCTTCAAGGGCGACAAATACTACAAATTGACAACAGACTCCGTGGAGGAGGGCTACCCGCAACTCATATCGAAGGGCTGGCCAGGATTGCCCGGCAACATAGATGCGGCATTCACGTACAAGAACGGCAAAACGTACTTCTTCAAGGGCACCCAATACTGGCGCTATCAGGGTACCCAAATGGACGGCGCCTATCCCAAAGAGATTAGCGAGGGCTTCACGGGCATACCCGATCATTTGGATGCGGCCATGGTTTGGGGCGGCAATGGCAAGATCTACTTCTTCAAGGGCAGCAAATTCTGGCGCTTCGATCCGGCCAAACGACCGCCCGTCAAGGCCAGCTACCCCAAGCCCATCTCAAACTGGGAGGGCGTGCCCAACAATCTGGACGCGGCGCTCAGATACACAAATGGCTACACGTACTTCTTCAAGGGCGACAAGTACTATCGCTTCCACGATGCACGCTTTGCGGTACGTTGAACTTAGGATCTAATCTTATGGCGAAAACTCACTGCGCTCTCTTTAACAGGTGGATACGGCCACGCCGGCATTCCCCAGGCCGACGGCACACTGGTGGTTCGGCTGCAAGAACACGCCCTCCTCCACAGGTAATTTTGAAGAGGATCCATTTGAGTCTGAGCAACGATCGCGGCTGCATGCCGATGATGGTAATGGTGATATTGATCTGGATGCAGGTGAGTGGGATCGACTCGGCGGTAGTTTTGTTTGAGTCCCAAGCGGATTCGATAGTAACTGAACTGTAAACAAAATATTTAATAGAAATTCGAATAATCGAAACTAAAGTCAAAAAGATCTCATAAACATGTATGAGTTGTTACTTCTTACCAGCCAAAAAAATGTTTTAAAAATCCTTAAAAATCTGGCAAAGTCTCTTCACACACACAACAAAAAAAGAGACGTATCCATTAAATGAATTTATACAAATATGGTATGTTTAATTAAGTTTATATATGTATCGTATCGTACTCGTACTCGTATTGTAGTTCAATTCTATTATTGAAGTCAATGTGTTTGTTTTTATTGCCCAGCAAATAACGTTTGAACCTGAAAAAAAAAACACAACAACAACAAAAAAGAGAAAAGAAAAGAAAATACATTATTTTTATTGAAAACTAATTCTCGAATTGTGTATGTCCAATTTCTTCTATTAGCACTCGTAGCTCCTGTAAACATTTGTGTATATATATATATAATTGATTTTTCCTACTTTGTGGTGTTTTACTTTAGTTTGTTTCAGTGTACTCAAACTGAACCAGCTCTAGGCTACACTTTCCTCTCAACACTTGTACAATTGTACGCTCCTAACCAGCATTATCTTTTATCTACATTTATTAGTAGTATTAATTTTAACAGAATTCTTTACTTTCACTTGGTTTCTTGGTTAATGTTACTAATACCCAAAGTTTCAAAGAGTTCATTTACACTTTTAATTTTTTGGTTACATGATTTTTATTTTATTGAAAAAAAAAAATATATTTATTTTAGTTTAATTGTGGAAATGGCAAGCTCCTAACCATGTTATCTTTTTTATTTGAATTTTCGTTTATTAACATTTCTAGAACTATTTCTCTAACAATATTTAAACATAACCTAACTCTTTCGTAGCTAACTAATCAACTCAATTTAGCATACCATGTAAAAAAAAAAAACAATCAAATAAAATCAAACCCAGGCGAAATTGAACAAAATTTAAAATTATTATAGGTACATAATAAAATGATAATATTATAATCATATCTTGCTTACAGTGTAAAAGAAAAAGAAAACAAACTACTGGTCAGTCGGTCTCACTAACTTCACCCCCGCTACCTCTTGGCGCGGTACCAGGCAATATACCTTATCAATCTATCAATCTAGCATTTAAGCCTCCTTCACGTGCACACGATACTATGAATGCGCATGCTACCACTAATTGGTTAATCTAACTATAGAGTTGAACTAAGAAGTTACTAATCTCAAGCTAATCCAACACTTTACAACACTACACTGAGCTTTACATTCACACCTATGCACACTTTTACAACACTATTTGTTAAACACCACAATGAACCCAACACCCAACCAGCTATCGGTAACTATCGAGTAGTAAATCCACACAAAGTGTAGTTTTTGCAATCCTTAGTACGTACACCTCCCACCCCCACTAAGTATATACCTATTTATATAGTACTATGGTAATATTAATATTATGTTATTCGTCCCCTAACTAAAAATATGTATGTATATCCTGTAGTTATTATGGCATTTACCAACACTATATGCGTACAACGTTTTATTCGAAATCGATATCCAAAAATTTTGTTATCCCTCTCTTTGACACCTGTGGCACCAAATTCAACCGGCTAAAGGCTTCTTTTTTTTGGGTTGCTCTTCTTTTTCGACAATCTTGTGTACACAAATCCGTTTAATTGCATGTTTTATCAATATTCTTAAATCCACAAATCGCATGGCTTACACACACACACATACACAACACCCACACCCACACTCATTACCTCATAAGTTATCCACCGTTTGTACATATGTATGTATGTATGTATGTGGTCCACAACCGTTATGTTATGACCCAGATTGCACGATTGCCGACGGTCGGTCGGTCGGCCAATTTGAATACTTAACACATGCATGCACGTGCTTGTTGCCCATACATAACTTATTCAATTTACATAAATCGAGCTCTGAACTTCAACTGTATATGTCATCCACTTGTACGTATGTATGTACATATTTCTTGCAGGCTTTAAGAGACGCGGATAAAAACGAAACAGAACAATTAACAACAACACAACTGCAAAACACAACTGAAAAGCAAAAAACCTAATAAAATGAAAAGAACAGCAATAACAACGAACTCCACGGCACACACACACGCACGCGCACACGCTCACACACACACACTCAACTAAAGCACAAGAAGAACAAGAACAAGAACTTAACGAAAGCAAAAACAAAGCAACGCGCGCATATCGAAAGATTTACCACACCCGCCGCCGGCTGCTGATTTTGTTGCTTTTGCTTTTGCTTTTGCTTCTTACGACTTACCCCTCTCCCAATCACGGTGTGTGTGTGTGTGTGTGTGTGTATCATCAATATGAAAGCTGCTCTTCCATCTCTGATGTGTGTGTCTGCGTGTAATTAAGCTTTATTAATTGTAGCTCTGTGTGCTTCATTTATAGTAATTGTATTTTATGCTAGTTGATCGAACTGATTCTCAGTTATCGTTATCGCTATCGCTATCGCTTGCTTAACGTATCGCAATCGCAATCGCAATCATTCGTAGATCAAATTTAATTTAGTTACGTCACAAACAGCACGTAATCCTGCGCACACCCAAAAGCTGAACGTTGAAAACCGCTTCGACTTGCTGAAATTGTATTTATGCGATTATCTTTTTTATCAATTTTTTTTTATTACATATCTGTCTCTCATTTCATTTCGGTTGGGATCAATCGATCAATTCCATTCAAACGTATGTATATTGCCATAATGCAGTACCGCAGATTCCAAATACGAACACAAATACGGGCACTGGCATGGGTCTGCTGCCCGGCTGGATGTGGAGCCTAACGAACCGATACTTTTAAAAAGCGCGCGCTAGTTCCAGCTCCAGTTCCTTCACAGTTTCGTTTCGTGTGTTCTGTCCAACATCAACTGTATAACTGTATTAATATCGTATGCATACATACATTTATTGTATCTGCAAAACGCGTGCCTTAAGTTGTATTACGTCCATATAAATATGCCTGCTTGAGTGATCTCTGTCTGAAAAGTAAAATGTCACAAAAAATATATATAAATATATTAAAAAAAAAAAAAGAAACATCACACACACAAATGCCACGCCCAAAAAACAAAAGCCTGCGCCGCTGCCGCCCATTGAAAAACGCCCAGAAACAATCAAGAAAACGCCAATTCAATTACGAATTCAACATAAAACATTTGCGCACAGCGTGGAACAGTATGTTGCATTAATTATTTATATACATATTTACTATTATTATTATTTTTTTTTTTTGTAATTCTTTTAAGTTAGCTTAGCTTTAGTTCGTAGTCCTTATACATATTTTGGCATTTATTTTATACGTTTTTGTTTTTTTTTTTCCTACACTCAAAATCTTTACACAGTCCTGTTCAAAAGTCTTGCACCTGTACAATTCTCCCCCAATAGATATTGATTTAGATATATGCATAGTTGATATAAAATTGAAAAATTTTTTTTTAAAAATTTCGAACATTTTCTTACGTGCTATCTCTTTGATCTCTCTCGATAACAGCTGTCGGCGATAACCAATCCAATGATGAGCCCGAAGTGGCGGAACGTACGGGATCGGGTTCGGGTTCGGGATCTGGTGCGACGTCCTATCGGCTGCCCAGTAGCTCCGCTGCCAGCGTGCTGCTAAGCACCTTTCTGCTCTGCTGCCTATCGAAATTCATAATTAGCTAAAATAACTGAACGTTGCGCATTTCTTGAAAAATTTTTGTTATCCACGGATAATATACAATTTTAGTAAAGTTTATACAATTTTAGCGCACGTTGCAAGCGATTTAGTTCGGGCTACCAAAATATATTTGAATTTTGTATTCGAATATAATACGACTTATAAAACAAAGTATATATATACATACATATATGATGTGAAACACAGGTGCCTTAAAATCGTTGTTGTGTAAATACAAAAGCAGAAAAGCAGCATTAAATGTAATTTAACTTAAATCTTAAATAGTTATTAACATTCCATCAAATTGGAAAGTATGCAAAACTAAACAGGAGATCAGAATTCATATCATAGCCGAGACTACGAGTATAATATGTAACTTAAAGATGACAATTTGCGATATTAACTATAACGAGCCATATGAAAAAAAAATTACTTAAATCGATCAAGTAACAAATGAACATATTTTAGTTTAGTTCGAATTGTTGCCCGGATAAATTCAAGCCGTGTAACAATTAACTATAGAAATTAAGGCTCTTTAATCAAAGGACATAGAATCGTAAAAAAAAAAAACGAACACATTTGATCATTATATATGTATACTTAATTTGTAAGTGTATGATAAGGTAAGAAAAGTCTTAAGCGATATTTGTTCGGGTTTAATATTTAAAACCGAAATATTATTTAATTTACGTTCTATTATTATGATGACAATTTTATAAAATTGTACGTTGCAAAAGTGATCGAAAAACATTAAATAAAAATAAATATGAATGTTAAAACTCTACTACTCTATCCACTACTAAGCTATCCTACACACACATATATATACAGATATATATATATATATATATATCTATATGGTACATATATGCCGCTGATTAAAAAGTCTTATACGCAAATAATTTTGAGGTGCTACAATTTGGTAGATATGAAAATCCTATCCTATGTATCCAAATCGGCTTCGACCTGCGCATGCACCTCCAGATTGGCAACTTTTGAAGATTTCTTAGTTGTATTCTCTTTGTTCGGCTGCTGTGCGCTGGATTTTGTGCTCTTGCGACGACCGAGACCTGAAATCAGCCAGCCAAAACAATCGGATGCTAAGTAAGATATTCGGGAGGAGGGGGGTACACACAATACATATAAAAATGATTAGTTGTGGTTATTTTCAGTGTTTACATTTAATGGGATCCTCCATGCCGTCAATTGGGCAAGTTGTGCCACGATATGGCGAATGCGATTGAGCATCTGGCAATGAGTCCGGTTCAGGTTCGGGCGTACTCTGAGCTATGCCCAAATATTCATTTTCCATTTTGATATCATAGCTAGAACACGGCGATAGTGAGCGTTGCATCAATGATGATTTGTCTGTGGTTAAATCCGATTGTGGCTCTACTTTGGTAGTGGCATTGGCTACAATTGAGGCGGCACTTAGTTCGTTTGAGATTCGGTCCAGCTGATCGGTTCAACTTACCAATACTGCCCTCTCTTTTCTGTAAGCTCCGTATAATGGCACTATGTTCGGCCACTTGCAGTTTGAGGCGTTGAATCTCCTTCTCCTGGGCAGTCATCTTGCTCTCGCGCTTCTTGTGTGGAATGCTGCTGCTGAGGCTCACAACGCTGTGCGACTCGCAGTGCTGGTCGTCATCGCTATCCAATATGGTAATCGATTCCACCGGAGGTGGTGAAATGACGCGACATTCAACGCCATCATCGTCTGTGGCGATGGTGTCAATGGTCAGATTGGATATGGCGCACATCGAGGCGGCTGTCGGATGGGCCAGGCGCTTGCGTAGACGACGATAGCGTACGGTCAATATGCGATTGTTAAGTGTACGGCGGACCAGATCCCTGAATGCCTCCATGGCCATCTCGGCATTGGCGTAGCGCACAAATGCATAACGTGCGCGTTTCTGGCGCTTCATGACGCCAATGTCGACACGCATGGAGTTGACGAACACCTTTATGTCAGCGGCGTTCATGTTGAAGGGTATATTGCTGACATACAGCGAGCACGGATCAATGCATTCGGCCTGTTCCTCATCGGTAAATGTCTTCAGTTCGGCGTGGAGACGGCCATGGCCGAAGCGCACCTGTTTTATCTCCTCAATGGTGCGTTCAACATTCGCGCCGGCCTTCAGATGCACCAGGCAATAGCGCTGCGAGACATTTGTCGGAAAAACCACATCCCGGATGCTCTCCGAGAATTCACTGACCGAAGTGACACTGATTTTGGGATCTGGAAAGCGTACAAGAAGCGTCGGTGCTTGGGGTGTTTTTGTAGCCAACTCGCGCTCCAACTCAAGAGCACGCAACGCGTTTTGGCGACGTAAATTGGTGAGTGCCTTGCGATTAAGCTTGGCCGCTGGAGCGGAAGAGATCGAGTTCGCTTTGAGTAACTAATTGAGATTGGCTCTTGTCTGGCTGTCACTTACTCTGGGCATTCGCTTTGGAATCCTTTTCCGAATCAAAAAGTGTGGGCACATCATTGGCAGAGGTCTTGGACTCTGTATTGGACATCCAGGAGCAGAGCTGACTGCCAGCAGGAGTCTGCTGGAACATAAATGATTCTAATGAAGGCGCACATCCGTTGCCAGTATATGGCGCCACATGATTGCTGGGCGACAGATTGTCGCGTTCAGCTTTGAGACTATCACAATCGGTTTCCTTGATAACATCTAATTGCAAGCATTCTGTCTGTGCATCGCTCGTATCTTTATCTATACCTGATTCCTGATCAAGCTGCAGACATTCTTCCTCGTCTGCAGCTGTAGCGCGCTTGGCATCTGGGCCATCGCCCAGGCCCGTCTTGCATGCCAAACGTTTTAGGTCCATATCTGCCACGAAATACGCTATATATTCCAGAATTGTGCGGTATAAAACTATTGCGTTAAAATCACTTTTTTAACAAAATATCAGCTCCTTAACAAAATATGCTGCTGTGTTGTGTTGCTGAATGGGTGGCAACGCCAAACGCTCAGCTGGTTTCAGGAAACGCAACGCCTACTACGCACACACACAAACATGCTCAGCTGTTAAGCTGAGTACTCAGCTCAAACAAGTTGCGGGCAAAAGCTATAATCACCCTGTGGTTCAATTTGGTATGTAAACGTAATAATAAACTTACTTAAATTTAAATCGTAATTATATAAGCCGAATTAATGATATTAAGCTAATTTTCCAACGAGTTAAGAAAGCGCGCTTGCAAATTTGGCCTCGCGCAAAGTATGCTAAAATGTGGTAAATTTCAACTTTTGCTTAGCTCGCGATCGCGTTAACAGCATACTAAGCTAAACATATGCACTAAGCGACATAACAAACAAAATGTGTGCGGCAATTTTACGAAACAGCATTAAATGCATAAATTTCAGAATAAACACAACAGCTTTAACCAAAAGCAATTTCTGGTAAGCACTTTGACTAAATATGGTTAAGACAGTTAGTTGAGTTTTGATTTATTTTAGCACAAGCGCAGTTCGCGGCAACTGGCGCCACAGGGATTCGGATAATGTGGAACAAAATCTTTTAAAGTTGGATAACTTACCAGAACATTATCAGTTGATTTATCGGGCACCATTGGAGAACTATGTGACCTGGACGAAGAATGTGTCGACCGGCACAGTTACAGTAATTGGTTTGGTTGCCGGCTGGCAGCTGGCCTCAACGATGAGCTATATGAATATTGCCCGGAAAATAGATATTTCCGTGCTGGTATCGAATGAAACAGATTTGTATTATTTTGCGGCCGGATTTGTGCTCATTAACCTGGCCATACGTGCATTTGTTGCCAAATATCCGCTGAGAATATACAAAAGCGCCGATAAGTAAGAACTACACAAACTTTTATTTATTGAACTTACACAATTTATTGCAGATACGTTGCTGTCTACGGCTCACAAATGCCAGTGGGCACAGTTAAGCATTATTTTGAGCGTGGCCAAATTGCCGAGTACAGGAATGTGTTAAATCCTTGGAGTCACATTATGTTCATGCTGGGCCGGCGTTCGTCCATGCTATTGATTGATTATTTCAAGACGCCGTCGGAATTTCATCAGTTGTTTCAAGAAAAACAAACCTAACTTTAAGCTATTTTTATTCATTAAAAAGTTGCTTATTAAAACATAATTTGCGAAAATTTGCACTAACTTCGCGTTGCAGCTCAAGATGTAAACAATTGCATGGTGTTGCCACACCAGCAACAGGTAGATAGGCACTGTGGCAGCACCGCAACTATCGATATATCGGGCTATCGATAGCGTGTCAACAATTCAACTCCACGTGCAGAGCAATTGTTTATGTGCGGATGATGGAGCTAAAGAAAATGAAACCGCTGCTGGATACAGAGCCGGAATCTAACGATAATATCGAGGAAAATAAGTCTGGGAAGCGGCGCAATCCATTCAACACACAGCGTCTCAAGGAGGAAAAAGATCGGCGGCAGAAAAAGCGAGCGCGTCTGATTGTACGCAACATAAGCTATAAATCTACGGATGAGGCGCTGCGCCAGTATTTTGGGCAATGGGGCACGCTGGAGGATGTACACATCCTGAAGCGTGGAGATGGCAAGCTGGTGGGCTGTGCCTTTGTGCAATACGAGACCGTAAATCAGGCATCAAAGGCTATTTTACACGCCAACGGCAAGGAGCTGCTCGGGCGCAAGGTCTTTGTCGATTGGGCCATAGGTAAAGATGAGTATGCAGCCAAGCAACAGAAAGATGAGCCCGAGGACAAGAAACCCAAGTTGGAGGTAAAGGAAGAAACTGATGAAGACAAAAGTGCAGCAGAAAACAAGGAGAAAAGTATAGAGAATGATGACAAATCAGGGAAAGAGTCTGATGTAGAGGAGGATGAAGAGCAGGATGACGATGATGATGACGAGGACGACAATGATGATGATGTCGATGATGAGAACAATGGTGATGATGATGATGAAGATGACAAGGACAAAAAAGATCTAAAATCGAAACTAGGCCAGTTGAAACAGGAAAAAACCATTTCCAACGATGTACAACAAGGCTGCACGGTCTTCATCAAGAACGTACCCTTCGATGCAGAGGATGCGGATCTGCGTAAAGTGTGCCGCAAGTTTGGAGTGGTGCAGTATGCGATCATCAACCGGCAAGCGGTGTCCGGGCACTCAAAGGGCACAGCATTTGTCAAGTTTAAGGCCAAAGAGTCGGCCGATTTGTGTCTGCAGGCAGGCACCGAGTTCAAATTGATGGACGAGGTGCTAGATCCACATCCGGCACTCAGTCGCGATGAAATCAAAACAAAGCAAACGCAAAACTCCAAAGACGAGACCACCAAGGATTCACGTAATCTCTACCTGGCCAGAGAGGGTCTCATCATGGCCAATTCAAAGGCAGCCGATGGCGTTTCCGCATCCGACATGGCCAAGCGACACGAGTTGGAGCAAGTGAAAACGCAAGTGCTGAAGAACCTGAATCGGTAAGTGGTAAATGTTATGTTAATCTGGATATCCATTAATAATATTATTTTTCAGCTTCGTTTCACGCAACCGCCTGTCCATACACAATCTGCCCCTGAACTATGACAATGAGAAGCTGAAGCAAATGGCGCTCACCTACACGGGCTTTCGTCCGCACGAGTGTCGTGTGATGCGCGACCAGAAGGTTACCCCAGAGCATCCGCAGGGCAAATCAAAAGGTTTTGGCTTCCTCTCCTTCGATACGCATCAACGGGCATTGGCTGCGTTGCGTAAACTGAATAATAATCCCAGCATCTTTGGCACTCAGCACGTAAGTGAAACCTTGCCTTGCCTTGATTGAGTTTAGCTTGACACTTTCCATGTTCTCTAGCGACCGATTGTAGCCTTCAGCATTGAGGATCGCGCCGTGCACAAAATAAAAGAGAAGCGCACCGAACGCTCCAAGCAAAACAATCCCACATACAAGTCAAAGCTGGAGCAGCGTAAGGAGCAGCGCAACCTGAAACGTAAGGGTCAAAAGCCGACGCCCAAAACCTTGGCGCCACAAGGCGACAACAAGGCGAAGCTGCAGAAGCACATCAAGAAACTGGAGGCTTCGCGTGCGGCCAAAGCAGAAGGCAAACAGCAGCAGCCGAAGAAGTTAAGCGATGTGGAGGCCGACTATGTCGGAACAGCAGCCAAGCCTGGTACCTCGCTGCGTATGCGCTCCAAGAAGAAGATCATGGAGCAGGCGCAGGAGCACATGAAACGTGTGAAGACAGAGAAACGCAAGCAGAAGAACAAAAAGATACGCGAAACACATCTGGCGGAGCGCAAGGCCAACAATCGACCCAAACAAGGACGCAAAAAGGAAAAGGATGATCTCCGGCCATTGATAAACAAATACAAGAACATGATCAGCGGAAACGAAGGCGGCGGCGGCGTCACAGGCGGCAAAGTGAAGAAACCGAAGCGTACCAAATGGTACGCCGATTGAGGTACTCTACAGTCCACATCCTAGACGCCTCAGTTGTGTATATTAGCAATTAAAATTTAAGTGTGCGCAAAGTTAAATCCTGTAAATCCATTAAAGTTGCTCGAACCTGATTGGATACGTTGTATGTTAATAAACTTTGCTGATTACGAATGGAAACAAGATTTTATGCATGTTGTAAATTACAAGTTGGGCCCGAGGGCCGCCCTAAAATTCACTTAGCCTCAGCGTTTATTCCAGCCAGAAGAAGCGTGAACCGTATTTGGCTGGTGGTGTGGGATAATCATCTGGCAGGCCGGGTGTAGCATCGGGATACGACTTGATTGGCTCCTTCTCGGGCGCCTTGCGTGTAGTTTTGACGACCTAAATAACAAAATTGTCATTTTAATCAGAGTATTGAATGTAGAGAGCATATCAGCTCACCTTGGCACGCGTAAAGTAGCCATAGGAAGGACGTTCCCAGTCAAAGTTATCCTTAACGCACTTGTCAAAAACACCCTGGGTTTTGCGGCAACTGCAAATAGTTGGACATAAGCATGAATGAGCTTAAATAAGTCTTGGAATTGATGTACTTACTGACTGAAGGCCATGGTGCCGCTGCTCTTGTCCAGGCAAGTGGCGTACTGCATGAACTCCTCATGGCAGGTTTTCTTTACCTTGCGAAAGAAGTCCAACGCACAGCTGGTGACGGCGCGTCCCTCCCCCAGGCAGGCGCGCGGATCATCCAGCTCTTGCCGACAAAGCATAAACTCCTGCGAAGACAAACGTAAACAAAACAATAAGCTACAACTTTTGAGGTTAGGTTATATAACTGACTCGCAGCGCCGTTTAACTGGATAATGTACACATAAACTAAAAGAACACATGCAATACATGCTCTTAGCTATGATTTAGAGCGTACAATATGTTTTTAATAAGCGCCGCATACTAACATTATTGGCCGATTCGCATTGCTTGCCCAGGTGAAAAGAACCCGCACGCAGCGCTGCCGACGACAGATTCAGCTCCTGCACGTCCAGTTCCGCCTCCTCGGGCAGTTTTGTGTTGCTTGTTATGACCATTGCGTGGAAGTAGTGCTGCCCGTTGCTCTGAAAGTGCAGCAAAGGCGTTGCAATCGCTAGCAAATTAGTTAAATTGTTAGTTTTTACTTGTTCGAGTCAAAAATATCGTCTCCAGCAAAACAACAGCTGTTCGCCAACGATATATCGATAGGCATAACCGTTTGACGCAATCGGCTCAGGCGGCTGCGATAACACTGACACGTCTGACTATCGATAGTTTTGCACGTCGCTGAAATTTGAAAAAGTAAAATATCGCAGTGCACGTCAGAAGAAATTGAAACAACAAATTGGAATCAATTTCTGTATACTTATAAATTCATTGTGCAGTCATGCAGTTCTCCTTGCTATTTTTATTGATATCCCTGATGAGCGTGTCTGTAACATTGCAGGGCGTGATCAGGAATGATGAGAATAATGGCAATGTGAAGACCCTAAATTATCAGAGCTCTGTTAAGGAAATTGTTAAGGATCTCATAGCGGCTTGGTCCTCGCCGCTTGTCTACCTCAAGAATCGCGGCTACCTGAGTGCACCAGAGATCGGATTCGATATGCTGCTCAAGGACGATAAACTGGGGGAGCGAAAGACGCGCTCCAACGAGGAGGAGACGCCCAACGATCTGAGCCATCTCTTTCGCACGCTCTTCTCGTCCAGCGACAGCAACGTCTCGGACAAGATCAAAAGCAAACTGGGCGTGCCCTGGGACATGACTGCGCTCAAGAATTCGGTGCGCAATGAGGCCTTCAAATACTACGAGAAGTTCTACGACAAACGCAATCAACAGGCATCCAACAACCAAGGAGACGGCGAAACGGATATAGATCGGCAGGTGGCACAGCTGTATCCAACGGTGGTGTTCACGCCCAACAAGGAGCACGCCGACGAGGAGGAGAAAAAGGTCATTGAGGAGGTGGCCAGCCACAAGGAGCCCAAGCTAATAAATGGCATTGCCAAGCTGCTGAGCAGCCGGGCCAAGCCGATGCCGGTGCAGCAGCTCAAGGAGCAGAAGGTGCAAAAACAGGCGCTGGACGCCAACTAAGGCGTTACACTTTCCACAGAGTTCAACTGTTGCCGATTTTCATTTCAGTTTTCTTTGTTTTTGGTTTTATTTTGTATTTAGTTTTCGATTGAATTTGACGAGCCCTTCCAAACCAGACGCCAGCTCGGGCCAGCTCATGCTAATTTATGGCAATTGGTTAACCAAATCATCAACAGAGCGATTAATTAAAACTCGTTTTCGATGAGCCCAAGACCGCAGCAAGCGGCCAGCTATAAAAAGCGTCTGCCCCTCTGATATTTTTGGTTGAAATTCATAGAACACAACAACAACAAAATCATGTTGAATCATGTGAGTAACGAGACTTGTGTTGTTTTACGGAACACCAGAACTGACTGTGCACATCTTGAATGTCTAGAAATTGCTGTGCTGCGCCTGCTTCCTGCTCCTGCTGGCTGCCATTGGCAGCGCCAATGAACCGGAGCCGGCGGCGGCGGCGGAGCTGCTGAAGCACATCAATCAACAGAATCTGAATGGAGCGGGTCAGTACAAGCACGAGATTGAGGTAGACAATGGCATCAGGACATCGGCCCAGGGCAATGTGAACGGTGTGCAGGGGGAATACGAACTGCCCGGCGAGCATGGGCCCATACATGTGACCTATACGGCCGACTCCACGGGATTTCATCCGCATATTAATTAAACTTGTTTATCAAATAAAATTGAGATGAAAAAAAAAAAACGAGTTCAAAATTGAACAGAAAACAAAATGTGACACAATTAAATGAGGGGCGCAGTTGAAATTTATGGAGCTTATTGCATTTAATATTAAAAAATAAATATGCCGCGATATATATATATATGTATATATATATAGTAATACAGGTAATCGTTTTGGTACATACCTGCAAGGTGTACTCAGATGCCGGCTATAAAAGCCTTTGGCCAGGCGCAGTTCGAGCAACAATCGAAATCCCAACGCATCATGTACAAGCACGTAAGTTCTTGACTATTTGGTAACTGTTGACGCCCACTCAATTGCCACGCCCCACTGGTATTGCAGGTGTTCCTAATTGCTGTGCTGCTGATCTCGGCCAGCTGGGCGCGCGACGATGACGCACACGCCAAGGCGGAGGAGCACAAAAAGGAGGACGGACACGGCAACTTTGCGTACAGCTATGACATAACCAACGGCATTGGCGCCCAGGAGGCGGGCGATGCCCATAATAATGTGCATGGCCAGTTTCACTTTGTGTCCAAGGAGGGCGTGCCCGTTCAGGTGTCCTACACGGCCGATGAGAACGGCTATCATCCGCAGGGCGACTCGCTGCCGACGCCGCCGCCCACGCCCGAGGCCATACTCAAGGCCCTGGCCTACATTGAGGCGCATCCGCCCAAGGAGGAGGCGAAGCCACGCCCACAACCGCAGCCACACGGCAACCTCAGACATTAGGGTATACCTTGCCGACATCCCCAACAGGCCATTTCAATTGCAATTGGATGCGTCTCCATCGGTCGGTCGGACATTAAAATAAAACTTTACGATGCAAGATTTTCCACAAATTTCTATGCAAAGTGGGCGACGGGAGCTTGGCGCCGTGTACGTGCCCAACTCTTTGGTGTAAAGTCTTGCTGCCCCGCCCACGCTTCAGCGCGGCGAGTCCATAAAATACGCATTGTCATATGGAGCTGGGGTGGGGGCAGGAGCCGGAAGGGATGGCCCTTGTTAATGTTGAATTTGAATGCGACGCGTCCATTGTTCGGCCTGAATGGACGCCGTTCGGAGCACGTTACGGAAGCGACAACTTAATGGGATGCCAAAAGCCCTCGACGGAGTCTAGAGCTAATGCTGTTTCTGCCTCTGGCCCAGCTGAATGAAGACTCATACCGTTCTCATCATATCCTTTTACTTTAAATGCGAAGTGCCAAACATGTAAATAACAAAAGCTGGTCTACAGCTTGGAGGCGCTGCGTGCCAGCTCCATGTCCACCGAGGGCGGATTCACCAGCTTGCGCACCACATCGAATTTGGGATTGTTTTTGTCGCGCACCAGATCGAAGATGACGCTCTCGCTGGTGGTTATCACGCAGCCCGCCTGCCGCAAGCGTTCCAGCGCCAAATCGCGATCCTGCTTGAGGCGAGAGCAACAACAATCGGCCACAATATAGACATTAATGTCCTGTTCACGCAGATCAATCGCCGTCTGCTCGACACAAATGTGCGACTGCAAAAGATAAGATGGAGATTTAGTAAAGTATGATGAGCATTTTGTGGCCTGGCTCACCTCTAGTCCATAGAGCACGACGTCCTGTGGCTTCTCGCCGAAGAGGTCCTTAATGACACTCTTCACCTGGGGCGTCATCATGCTAAATAGGGTTTTGCCCGTAACAGCCTTGGCATGCGACACATCCAGCTCGGCCACAGTCTTGCCCAGCTTCTCGGGATAATGCTCGGTCACAATTAGCGGCACCTCCAGCGCCTTGCCCGCCTTCGTCTGCAAAGAGAGCCGGGTTGAAGCTAATTTCCTTTAAGATAAGCTAGTCAGCTACAAAGTTCACTTGCCAGCTTGTCCACATTTTTGACCATATTGTCGAAGAGCGGCATGCTGGGTCGGAATTTTTCTTGTATATCGCAGAGCAGGAACAGCGTCTTCTTGGGGTTCAGGTGGCAGCGTCTGAAGGCCATTTTGGTTGCTATTGTTAACTAGAAGATATCGAAATAAATGCTAATGAGCTAAGTTAATCTAACTATATCTTGCGTCTTATCAGTCGTCAATTAAATCAACTTTAGCTGCTGAGCACAAAGTTCTGCGATAGTCCAATTGGCATAAACAGCTGTTGCGCTTGCGAAACGGTTAAGAGATATCGATAATGCAGTTGTCAGAGCGTTGCCACTTTGTCACTTTGAGCTGCAGATCGCTAACGATGACTGCCACACGAAACGGTTATAAATATCCGCAACCCGCTAACGTTATCGATTAACCGTTACTTTTTAAATTTGCTCTCAGCCTTTTTTTTTTAAGTTTAAATGGATCAAAAAGCACTTAAGCAAAAGTCGTTAATTAAAAGCAGCCCAGCTGATTTATGCCAAGGGCAGCTCATGTCCAAAAGGTAAACAGCCAATAGGCATAAGGTGCACATTTATCAGCAACTAGGCTCTGGGGCCCAAACCCCACATGGCAATTAAACTAAATTGTGTGGACCCAGACAAAAAGCGGCGCACACAGCCACCAGATTTATATTCATAAGCCGGCAAACAGCGCTGAGGGCAAGAATTCCGGGTGGGCGGCATTTATAATGGAATTCCTTAATACGAGGGAGGCGAGCAGGCCCCGTCCACCTTTGATGCCGTTCAAGCATTAACGTAATGAAGCCACAGTCAATTTCAATAACGCAATCAAATGCGTTCAATTTCAAAAAACCACAAAACCCACCAACCAAATGCCCATTGACCATTGCCACACGCATTGCCCACATCCGAGCTAAAGTGGAGGTTATTATTATTTTCGTTTCTTTTTTTTTTTTTTTGACAACTTTGGCATGCCTGACACGTAGTTTTCTATGGCACGGCCCGTCCTGGACACGCCAACGCCTTGATAATGCGAATGGCAATAGGCATGCCCCCGTGCCGCACCCCCTCCCACCCTCCACTCACCACTCGCTTGCATATTTCAACAATTTGCGCTACCTTTTGCCCCTTTTTTTTGCCATCTAGGAGCACAGCTCGTCGCAGTCCTGCAGCAGCCAGGACACATATTTTATGAGCCTCCAAAGTTGCGAGCGCTGCAATTTCCAAAAAAAAAAGGTGAAAGGGGGGAGGGGCGGGAAAGTACTGAGTAGACCACTCAAAAACGTGTAAACGAAGGTTTTGGAAGTGTTTCCGACCGACTTGGACATGCAGAATTGACTTTGCTGCTGCGTGGGCACAATACGCTGGAAATTGGGTACAGTGTGACCTCATAATAACGAACACATATATATATTTTCCCATTATTTTCAATCTGATAATGCTAGGGATGATACTCGATAAAAGTTATCGATAACAAAGCAAATATTAAAGGCAAGCAATCGATGAAATGCGTTCGTCATAGCCAAGTCAACCTGTGGCTATAGTTTCCCATCATTTTCAATCTGATAAAGCTAGAGATGATACTCGAAACAAGTTATCGATAACAAAGCAAATATTTCTGGCAATGTGGTACAGTCAGACGGCATAAAGACGAACAAATATGCATATTTTCCCATCATTTTCAATCTGATAAAGCTAGAGATGATACTCGGCAAAAGTTATCGATAACAAATCAAATATTTAAAGCAAGCAATCGATGAAATGCCTTCGTCATAGCCAAGTCAACCTGTGGCTATATTTTCCCATCATTTTCAATCTGATAAAGCTAGAGATGATACTCGAAACAAGTTATCGATAACAAAGGAAATATTTCTGGCAATGTGGTACAGTGAGACGGCATAAAGACGAACAAATGTGAATATTTTCCCATCATTTTCAATCTGATAAAACTAGAGATGATACTCGGCAAAAGTTATCGATAACAAAGCAAATATTTAACCCTTGTTTCAAGCATGCAATCGATAAGATTTGCGTTTAATAAGTTTCTCACATTTAAGTGCGTTCGTCATAGCCAAATTAACCTGTGGCTATAGTTTCCCATCATTTTCAATCTGATAAAGCTAGAGATGATACTCGGAAAAAGTTATCGATAACAAAGCAAATATTTAAGGCAAGCAATCGATGAAATGCGTTCGTCATAGCCAAGTCAACCTGTGCCTATAGTTTCCCATCATTTTCAATCTGATAAAACTAGAGATGATACTCGACAAAAGTTATCGATAACAAAGCAAATACTTAACCCTTGTTTCAAGCATGCAATCGATAAGATTTGCGTTTGATAAGTTTCTCACATTTAAGTGCGTTCGTCATAGCCAAATTAACCTGTGGCTACGCACAGCCAATGAGATATCTAGATAGATGTGTGTGTGTGTGTGCTATCTATATTCATGGCGCTACGCGCTAGTCGCAGCCATTTTGGGTTTTCAATTTCAACGCCATTTTCGCTTGAATGCGTCGAAAGTAATTTGCATTTTTTATTTGGTTTTATTGTTGTGCCCAAAAGCACGAAACGACAGTCGCTTGGCAATTTCAACAGCTCATCGTTGCCAACTGGCCAGGTGATGGCATCGACAGGTGATAATGCCAATAATAAGTTGCGAGATAAGCAAAAAGAAAGGGGTAGCGGGTGGAAGGGGGAGCGGGAAGGGGGGTTGGTTGGGTGAAATTCATTTGCTGCACAAATTTGGAAATTTTGGAAAAAAAAAAAACAATTTTCCTTTTTTTATTGGTTTCGAATTGTCTGCAAGTCGCACACACACACACACACACGCACATGTTGTGTCTGCCTGTGTGTGTGTATTTTTATGTGATTTCTTCAGTCGGAAACTTTTCGTAATGGAAATGGCAATGGAAATGGGAGGGCGATTTTGTGCAAAAAAATGTTATGGCATTTATTTACAGTATACGAGTGCTCAAGTGTGCGTGTGTCTGCGTGTGTGTGTGTGCGTGTGTGTGTGTGTGTGTGTGCTGCAATTTATTCAATGAAATGTAAATGCGACTCAATTGTAGTTTATTTTGTAGTAATTCTTGATTGCACAATAAGCAAAAGTCATTTAATTTCGATTGCGTATTCCCCATTTGCCATTTCCCTATTTTCAATTTGCATATTGCTCGGGGCATCCCTCGGCAACAACAACAACAACAACAACAACAACTATTTCTAATACATCTGCAATATGTGACTTTGGCATATGTCTGGCTTCTGTGGAAAAGTCAGACTCGAGCTCAACATGAAAACACACTTTGCTGCTGATAGATAGACACGCAAAAGTTTTGTTTTGCCACAAAATATATATATTATATATATATATATATACATCTATATTCATATGCATATTTATATATACATGTACATTAGTTGTCAACCCCTTCGAATTCGCATCAAGTTTTCCCCGTTGCTTTTTCTCAACGATTTTCATAAAATTGGCAACGAACTGATATGCCAAACTACGCACGTTGTTGGCGCCACACTCCAACCCTACTCCCTATACACACTCCTACCTTGCCCCTACCCGCTGCCTGCTACCCTGTATGAAGACATGCTGGCATTTGTGTAGGCAACTTCGCTATAGCTAATGCTTGTCACGTTTGCTTCAACGTTTGACAAGGCAAATTCGACATACGAAAATGGAGCTAAAAACAACAAAAGGGAAGAAAACAAAAACGCATTGTGCTTGTGCGTGTGCCATACCCAAGGGATACCCTGTATTTAATGTCCGATTCATTAATCAAGCTTAGCTAGGCGAAATTCTCGGCTCGGCCATATGCTGCTAACTCTTGGTGATCTATAGAGTTTGTCTTTGTTAAAATAGCGCATTATGTGCTTTGTAAATCAGTCAGGATTTGGGCCAAGTTTGGAGTCAACTATTTGTA